GCAACGATGGGTCTTTACTTTACAGATATCGGTATTGTACCGTTACAGTATTTTTTTTTACTCAATAACCCTACGGGTTTTACCGCAATCTGTATCGGATTTTTCTTTACGATATCCCAGTTTGTGGCTTTTGTTTTATTTGCTTTCGATACAATAACTGAGATATGGGTTTTTTTTTCTGTTACTGAGAAAATGGTCCCATGAGCAATAACAAAGACGGAAACAACTATTTTTTCCCTGTTGTCTTCAGAACAAGACTGAATCTCAACAGCTGATTTGGAATTGGATGAATGTTTTGCCTCCGCAGGACGTTTGTGAGGAGCCGGCCGTGTTAATCTCACCCGTGAGTCCCATTTTTGGTGCAATGACAAGAGATGAAGCTCTTGATGAGCGGTGTCGTTGAGTCTGAGAGTGATCAGTAGAATAGTTTTCAGTATTTTTACCGCCGGAGGGGTCATTCTGAGTGGATTTTGGAGTTTGTGAGGCCATGCTGCTTCTAGTATCTGGGATAAGGGTCCTGGGGATGCTAGCAGGGGTATGTCCCACATATAAGCAGGGGATAGCTCACCAAAGGCCTGCTGTCATCAACTTAGGGCTTTTTTATGCCTTTTGCCCCTGGTGGAGTTGGTTATTGTGTTAACCAGGGGTAAAACGGAAACCTATAACTATATCTGTATGAAGCAACCAAAAAATGGGTGCCTCAATACTATACTAGTTGCTTGGGGCTTGGTCCTTTACTAGTACCGGTATTAGTAACGGGTGGTCAAGCATACATTTACTATAACAAAAGGGGCTGGTTATCGTAGAGTACAGTAAAGACCCATTGTTGTCCCTAGCCTAGTATGAGCAATTAAAACCACTGGTTCTATACATTCTTTTCCTGCACCTTGAATCCAGTGCAGTATAAAGATGGAAATCGGTACCTGGCACCTGTTTGCCTGGTACCGCCTGGACCCGCCTGGCACCTGCCAGGGGGTGCCAGCAACACTGGGTCACTACACTACCAGTAATGGTAGTGTTTTTTTTGTCACTAGCACTACTTTTCCTGTAGTGCAAACGCACTACATTATCATTTTCTTTTTTTTTCTGTTTCTTTTTGGCAACTACACTATTGCAGTGGCCTTTTTTTTGTATTTTTTTATTGCATTACGGTAGAGAGGACATGACAAGAGAAAAATTACTATTAGGAAGACAAATGTAGGAGAGAGAAACATTAATATGGGCAAGGAAGATGAATACTAATTAATATTGGATGATATCAAATAATCTTGAAGATGATTTTTGTGAAGAATCAAGATGGATGGGGTTGGGGATCACAGAGGGCACCATTGACGGATGGCTGCCAGAAGGTCGCAACCCTTAAATGACAAGCTGGGCCCTTTCTTCATCAGATTAGGGATGTTTCACCCCTTGATGGTGCAGTAACACAATATTCAGGGGTGAAACCATTACAAAATCAGATTTTGGTGCTCTCAAAAAGAGGGGCCCAGCTATGCTACAGGATAGTGCAGTAGTGCACTATCCAGGGGTGAAACCATTACACTATCTGTTTTTTTTGGGTTTCAGAAAATGGTCCCACTACACTACAGCCCAAGAAAAAAAATTGTGGATAGTGTAGCATTCAAGTAGCAGCCAAGCAGCTGGGTGCACTACACTACTCAGATACACTGGATAACGCAGCGTAAAGTAGTGACCCAGTGTTGGTGCCAGGTGAGGTACCTGGTGTCCATTTCTGAGCAAAATGAAGGCGGCACCAGGGAACTGCTAGAGGTACCCTCTTTAATGCGCAGTCACTGAGTAGGGGGATGGCCATTGCCTTCTACTGAAAAATGGGATGATAAAGAAAGGGGTGTTGGCCAAGTGGAAAGATGGTATTCAGACTGCTAAGAAGGGTAAATCAGATGGGAAAGGTAAATGAAAGGTGATAGTATTAGAAGATTAGCTCAACACAATACTCGCATGTAGTGAGAAAAAAAAAGTGAACTGCAATTTCAAGTCATAAGAGTGCCATTTGCACCGCAGCCGCAGGTACTGCTGGTACCCGCCCAAAGTACCGCTGGTACAGTGCCTAGACAGTGAAAAGTGGCTGCCTATTTTGGATTCCAGAGCTCCAGAGCACAAATTTGAAATCATGAGACTTGGTCAGGTGGTGCATAATTGAGGAAATTTGAGTCGATGAGGGGAAAAAGTCGGCAGAGCCGAAAGCAGACAAAGTCTGAGAGATGCTATTTATACTTAGACAAGTGGGCTAAAGTGCGCCTTGAGAAAGGCTAAATGGAGGCTTAAGTGTCCACTTAGGACCAGATCAAAAATAGCTAAGACTGATGATTTAATTCCTTAATATCTAGAGATCTTTAAGTAGTCTAGATACATCATTGATCAACTTGTGGGAGTGAGTGATTCATAATGAATAAGAAATAAATTCATAATTAAAAACAAAAAG